ATTGACACACATGCTATTACTAAACAGGACCCAAACCAGGCATCATTTGCTCTATGCCTGCTCCTAAGTCACACATGTTACTATTTTGACTAAAATATTCTTGAATTATTGAAAGTTCATATTGCTCTGGTTTCTTCTCTTTTGATTTGGGAGGAAGGGAGGGGGCGTTTGGAAAGGGAGATTGGATTCATAATTCATGAGCCCCACCTATATTATGTTTGTTTGGAAAGAACTTATAGTGATCCCGATTTTCCCCGTCATGTATTGTGTTCCTGACTTGGGTCTGGTGGTTGTATGTTGTTGTCTTATTCTCGTTCCCATCCTCTGATTCTGTGTATTTAAGTTTTGGGATGTGTTGGGCAAGTTTGAAACAGGTTGGGTGTGTTTTGAAACAAATGGTTGCTATCCAGATTGTGGCTTCTTCGCTCGAGCGAGACTTTTGTTGCTCGAGCGAGCACTAGATTTTAGTTCCTTCGCTCGAGCCAGGGTTCCTTCCCTTGAGCGAGCTTTCGATGGTGTGTCTCTTGGCTCGAGCGAGAACTCTTCCGCTCGAGCGTGCATCTGCGTCTGCGTCTGCGTCTGCGTCTCTTTTTGACCTGAAGGTGGGTATTCTTGGCTTGAGCGAGCGAGTTCTATGTTTTGCGTTTCTTCGCTCGAACGAGAACTCCTGTGCTCGAGTGTGCTTCTGGGTTGCAAACCTGAAGCTTTGCATTGTTCTCTCGAGCGATACTTCTTGTGCTCGAGGGAGGCTCTTTTGAGTCTGGTCGCTCGAGCGACCACTCCTTCGCTCGAACGAGCCTCGAGTATATCAGTCGGCAACAACGGGTTATACATCACTATTTCATTTTTTTTTTCATCCAAACCCTAGATCCGACTGCTTCTCTCTCTAAACATACCTTCTCTCTACAAATACACCTAGTTCTAGTGGTCTTCTACCCTAGTCTCTTTGTAAGAAAGGTAGAGCTTCGTGTGGGCTCCATTTTGATCCGACAAGTTGTGGGTTTGGACCATCTTTCAATTTTACTCTTCACCTTCTTGAGCTTCCACTTCGAGGTAGGGATAAACTACTCCTTGTTATGAGTTTTAACATAAATTTTAATCATTTTGTATAAATGGTGAAGTTATGGAAATCTTGGAAAGTTAGGGTTTGATTTGAAATATATAAAGAGGGGTTTTCAATTGTTGAGCCCTATGTGTATGTGAGACCTTGGGAAAATGGGGTTATTGTTATAAGATTGATGAAATTGAACCTTAGAGTTGTTGTTCGAGAAAATGGGAGAAATGCCCTAATTAAGTTTAGATAATTAATTTGTATAATTAATTCAGGGAAATATGGAAATATGAAATTGAGTTGAAAATCATGAAATTGGGAAATTATGAGATTGAATGGTGTAGTTGGATTGATTAATCACTCACCTATGAAATTGTTGATAATTTATCTGTTTGATAAATTTATTATCTGTTTAGAAATAATTATTTTGGGCTATCAGTGGAGGATAGTCTTGATTGTTGTAGACACTGTATGTTGATTAGGGAAAACTGAAACTAATAAATTGGGTTATGTCATTGAACATGACGGTTGAATTAACACATTGAATATGTGTCTGGATTGATCATTGTATATGATAAAGCGTTTAAATACATTGCATATGTATCTTATTTGAGAGGAGATAGGAGATGTACTCCATGGTTTGAGAGGAGATAGGGGATGTACTCTCAAACCTGTTTGGGAGGAGATAGGGGATGGACTCCATTGATAACTAAGTTGGCCGGAGTGTCCAGGGTAAAAGTCCCGAAATCTTAATTACATTTGCATAACGTAGATGAATTGAAGTATTGAAGTGTTAATAACATGAGTTGTAGTCTCATTTTAAATTGATTATGATTGAAGTGTTGGTAGTATGAGTGGCAATCTCATTTTGAACCATTCGGATAAACAATGAACCATATCTATGAATTGATTTGGATAATGAAACGAAAAGGGATTGGAATATGGTTGTAAATATGAATTGGTTATGGAAGAGATGTACGTTGGTTGATATGAGTTAAACATTTATCAAATGCTAATATTTTAGTTATTTCTCATATTATGTTTAGCGTATCTCTACTAGGCTTTGGCTCACCTTATATGGGACATCATTTTCAGGTACAGGTGATATGCCGCCTCTAAGGATGTAGCTTGGGAGGTTTAGAAGCCGAAGGCTTATTTTTGTTGTTACCTTTTTGTATTACATGTAATTCAAGCCAAGGGCTTAATATGTTAAGAGTTAGAGCTTTCTTTTGTTGTAACCAAGTGTTAACTTGGAAAGTTGTAAGCCCGTAGGGCATTTATTTTTGTTGTCAACATGTAATACTTTTGTAATGAATACTCTGATAAATGAATATATGTTTATTTCTCCTACGTCTATGGATATCATGAATGATTGGTTTATGCACTTAAATTTGAGGGCGTGACAGAACTGCTATGAGATTGCTAATCCCATGAGATTATTAAACTCCTCTCACGGTGGAATTAAAATTCCTATGAGAGGGTTGGGATTACTAGTTCACTCCCATGGACTCATCGTAAAAAGACTATTTTGCTCCTCATTTTACAAAACCAACAAAGTTATTTTCTATGTAATAAGGCTTTTACAAAAATTTGTATATTTAATCCCAACTAACTAATAATACCACACTAGTACACAAACAAACACATTTTATCTTACATTTTCAACATAATACAACTACACTAATAATCTTCTCATTCAATTTTACCGTACTCATAATCTCATATAATTTAATCTGTCAAACAAACTGAGGCGTCTCTTCTAGGTGTGTGCGCAGTGTTGTTCGATGCAGCTTGAGAGTAAAATTATAAACCAAACTATGAATGACGAATTGACAAATAACCAAACTACAATTTGGGTAGTTTTAATTAGGTTGCTCATTGAAGAATATTCTTAAATAATTATCAAACATTTGCATAATATATAACACTAACTAATTTTACATAATATTTTATATAGACATATAATACTAATTTGCAATAAATTTCATATCTTAAATATCTCTTACATTGATTTTTATTTTAATATTTCATTAGAGTTTTTTAAAAAATAATATGTATTAACTATAACGGATCAGGGTGGTTTCAAAGACTAGGGTTACAAATGAGTCGAGCTTTGCTGAGCTCGAGCTCAGCTTATTAAGTAACAGAGCTTGGGTTCAAGCTTGACTCGGTTTGTTAATATTAATGAAACTCGAGCAGCTTGATAAGATTTTTAAAATATTATTTAAATAAAAAATATTATTTATATTATTTGATATATAAATAATGTATTTATAATGTACGTATACTATTATTTATATATTATTTAATATATAAATAATATATTTATTATATAATTTAAATAAAAATAAATAAGCTAAGCTTATTCGAACTCGAACTTGAGCTCAGCTCGTTTACTAAATGAGTTTAATATTCGAACTCGTTTACTAAATGAGTCTAATGTTTGTGAATAACTCGGTTCATTTGCAGTCCTACCAAAGACAAATTATAAATTTTAAATTACAGATAAATTTAAATCGCAATTAACTGACGGATTGGTGCGAATTGAGTGAAATTTTGTACAATCCTACCATCCCCTGAAGCCTTGTATTTGCTTTGATAATCTATGATCATATTCCAATATGAATTTTTTTTTTTGGACTTGTTTTTTAAATTTTGGAGTGATTATTTAGTGGTATTTATCACTTGACACTGGTCAAATTATTTTCCAACAACTCAACAATTGAGTTCTACTATTTTAATCAATAAATATCAAGTTGGAGCACAAGCAAAAAAAATAATTTGCCCTAATTTTGAGGTATTTCTCCTTGGTTTGATTTACGGATCTCTATGGTACCTTTTGCATCAATTACTTTTCTTATCAAGATATGCATATATATGACTTGTTAAGCATTTTTTTAAAATTTTAAAATTCCACAACTTTCATTCTACAGAGCAACTTTGAAATTTTGTAGTTTTTCAAACACAAAAATTGAATTTTTCCTAACATTTCACTATCTCAGCATAAAAATTATGAAATTTCAAACTTTTTTCCACAAAAATTGCAACATTTTGTAGTTGCACAAAAGTTATGAAATATAAATTTCATAGTTTTTGAAACACAAAAACTGTGAAATTTCTCATCACTACTCAGCAGATTAATATTATTATTATTATTTTGGGTATAGATTTCTTTCAATATGCCTTTCCCACGTCCTTTCGTTTCAATAGTTTCTCATATTCTTCTTCTTCTTATTATTATTAGGGTTTTAAAAGAAAAATCAAAGGTTTTACGTATTTTTCACCTTAAACCCCAATGTTTCAATTTTGAAAAACTAAATCTTGGAGTTCCTCCATCCATCTCTGTCTCTGTAAAGTAACAGAGGAGGTTTAAAGTGAAAAATACATAAAACCTTGAGATTTTTTGTGTAATTAACCATTTTTTTAAAATTAAAATCACTAAAAATAAAAAAGGATTAATTACAAAATAAATTTTAAGATTTTACGTATTTTTCACTTTAAACTCTATATGTTATTTTACACAGACGGAGATGGATTGAGGGACACATTGAAACATGAATAGAATTTCATGATTTAATTTGTCGAAATTGAAACACTAGAATTTAAAGTAAAAACATGTGAAATGTTAGAGATTTTTTTTTAAAAAAAATTTAATTAACCTTTATTAATTTTATTATTATAATTTTTTTGCCCTTTCCCGGCCAAAATCTTCTCAGCCAAACACAATCTTACACTTCCACAAATTGGCAGTGAGGATCAAAGGATTTTAACATCATAACAAACCAATCAACAGCGACAGAAACATTCCTGAATTGGTGTACATGTAAAGTGCTCTATTTAAAAAAACAAAAAAAAAAAATCCTCAAAAAAAAAAAAGAAAGAAAGAAAGAATGTTATTTTTATTTTTATACTTAGTATATGAAATATATAGTAACCATGCCATGTCAAGATCAAGTTTACATGTTGACCGGTAGGCGGCTAATCCAACCATCATCGTCGACGAATCTGATGCTAGTTAACCACGATAGCATATCCTGACTCAGATTAGCTTCCCATTTAACACGGTTTAATGTGTTTGATCCAATTCCATAGCAGCCATGCTCAGCAAAGGTTAACTGATGCCTGCAAATAATTTTATATAATTAAGCAAGTGCAATTTGAAAGAAAAAGTGATATAGTACACTGAATTAATATTCTTTACTATTACTAATTTTGAATGAATTTAAATTACTAGAATTTCTCTTTGTTTGCTGAAAAGACTTCTAAGTTTAATTATTCTATTATTTTGAAAGGTAAATTGCAAATTAGTGGTCCTTTCATAAGATATTTATAAATTTATGAAAAAATTTAACTTTAATTATTAAATGTGATAAAATTATAAAATTTACGACTAATTTACAATTTTACCTATTTTGAACGATGATATTATTTCTCTTTAGTATGTAATCATGGTTGGCCACCTCCAATAAAGTGGGATACCATTGGTCACATTTTTACCTGTTTGTTTACTAAGGATTTTTGTATTCCTTTTGAAATGTTTAAAAAATCTTACATTCTTTTAAAATGTTTAAAAGATTTTATATTTTAAGTCATTTTTATATTCATTTTGTAATGTTTTCCAAAGAAAAAAGATTCCCATATAAAAATTCATTTCAAATTTGATTCTCATAAATTGTGTACATTACCTTTCTAGCACAAACAAAAAAAAGAGAAGGAAACATAATAGAAATAAGGGTATAACCGTAAATCTAATTTATAAATAATATATTAAATCTACCTTTTCAAAAATCAATGAGACTAATTGGTCCATAAAAAAATCATTAAGACTAAATGAATTATTATTCCTCAAAATGGAATTTATAGATAAATTTTCCATATATATTTATATTTTTTAAACTTTAGAAGTATTTTGTAACCAAATAAAAAAATAAAAAAAATTAGAAGTTTTTTAGAACCTTTTAAATTTAGGGGCAGTTATTTATAAATTTATTTTTACCTACTTATATTTCACTTTCTAAATTATTTTCTTATATTTCAATAAGTCCCATGAGTGATATAATTATCAAAATGTTCCTAATAATAATATTCACATTGACAGTAAATGTTCCGTGATGTGAACATTCATACTGTTAATATGAACATTCATACTGTCAAATATGAATGTTCACATCACTAAGTTGCTAAACGTTTAAAACATATTTGTAAGAATAAAATTGTTTATAAAATATCTTAAATATGAGAATTTGAATTTGGTAGATCAAATGTCCAAATAATATAACTTATTAAAATATAAAAATATGTTATGAATTAATTGGAATACAAGTACTTGAAAAAAAAAATCCTAGTATTTTAGAAAAATCTAAAAAGTAAAAAAATTAATTAATTAATTAAAAAGTTCACCAAAGTTAAAAAGCCAACTTTTTTTTACTTCTTTTTTTTTTTAGGAGAAATAACAAATCAATGGTACTTTTGGACAATAATTATACTTTCATGATAAACTTTATAAACTTTAATGAATCAAGGTGACAGAGTTGCACAAAAAACAATATCATGTGTAGTACAATTATTTTGTAATTGTCTCATTTATTTACAATTTTCCCTTGACTTTTCATACACATATAACAAGAAGACTTGCTATGAAGATTTGAAAAAAAAAAAAAAAAAAAAAATTAGCAACAAACTGTAAAAAAAGTAATCGTCAAACCCAAAATTACTGAAAACCTAGGATACAAATTATTTTAAATGACTAAACATGAGAGGTCTAAAATAATGATCAGGGTAAATTACAGTAGTAGCTCTTATATTTTGATTTTTGTGTTATTTTGATCCTTATAATTTCAATTAGCACATCAATATGGTCCAATTGAATATCAAAATTGAGCTAACTGAAATAATACGGACCAAAATGACACAAAGGAGAAATGTGAGGACTATCGATATAATTTTTCCTATAGTTTAATGTGGGGATTCCAAATCACTGAATAATTTTTAAGAATTAGATGTGTCAATTAATTATTGTTAAAAGCTTAACTAATCATATTTTATTTATCACATGATGTATTGATAACAGACATAAGTTGCAGATATTTATTAAACTAAAAGAGAGAGATGGGGAGAGAGAGTACTCGCGGCCGCCGAAATTGCCCCAAGCATTCCAACCAAGAGGAAGAACTACATCTGATAAATAAGAGTTGTAAAAGATGACTCTGGAATACTCTCTCCAAGGCCTGCCCAAGTAGGTGAGTCCAGTTCCAATAACATTGCAGTCTTTGAAGACAAAACCATTAGTCTCCTCTGGTGTAGACCTTCCCTGTGCTGTTATGTACCCTGCCAATCCATCTAATGCTCCTGCTATTACTGATATTGTACATCTCTACAATATCAATAATAAATATCTCATTATTTACTAATATTTATAGAGTATCAAGTGACATTGGGTCAAATCAAGTGACCAACTTGTCAATTGGCATTGTCTACGTAATACTTCTAGAGTATCAGGTGACATTGTCTATATGATACTTCTGATCTATGAAAAATCGCAACAAATACTAAGTGATTGATTTAAAACGCAATATATACAATGTCAAAGAAAAATTCTCATCCATAGTTTGCACTAGGTCTCTAGATGACAAATAAAGGTCATGTTAAAAAAGACAGCAAGTAGGAAAGACAACCTATATGATGTAAACATGTGATGAACTTTGCAAAAAAAAATTACTCAGATAAATAAAGGGTATATATGCTTTGAATGGGATCTCGCGGATAGAAAAATATTGCAATCAATTTGATAATGATTGAGTGATATTACTTCGTTAGTAAAAGCTATAGACCTCATAAATAGATTGACCAGAACCAAAGATGAAATCAATAGCTCCTTGTATGGTGCAGAGCTTGAAGTAATGTCTGCCTTGAACATCCCACAAAGTGTCTTGGAATCCAAAAAACCCACATCTATAAAAAACAGATTTGTCACCAGAGATCATCGCCGCCACGGCCGTTCTTATAGGGTTGTAGTTCGTCGGAGGATTGTTAAAAGAGTTCTGCTCCAGTTTCATCATAAAGATAACATAAGCCACAATTAGGGGAGTTGAAAATTGTACAAAAGAGGGGTCCAAGCAAGATTATCAAATTTTTTGAGGAACCAAAGTAAAATTTATATAGATTTACGGGTCAAACTGCTAATTCCTTTTTCTTTTTTTTTTAATAAATACTTGAAACACATAGGCTAATGAGATTTTTTGTGAAGTTTGAGAGGGTCAAAGTAAAATTGTATATAAATTGGAGGTCAAATATCATACAAATAAGAAAATTATACAAAAAAATTAAATCAAAAGATCCACCAAATTGTCTATTATCTATCTTTACCTGTATGCAATAAAGTAAATAAAGAGTTCTTGGTACAAATCCCTTTTAGTCACAAATTTCGATTTTCTAAACTATTTTTCTTTTTCTGTTTCGGACAAATTAAAAAATATTTCGTAATCTATAACTACACAACCATGTGGTGGGTGTGCACACTTTCATATAAATTAAACAAAATCTAGTATGAATGTCACGTTTTTTCATTCCCAAATGAATTTTTTTCTATAATTGTCAAATTCAAACTCTTGAATTCTTTGTACGGTTGATTTGTTAGTGTGCACCATTCTAGTTCAAAAAATATCATAAAATGTTAAAAAAATGTCACATTGTTCCAATTGAATATTTTGTATAAAAATTTAGACAAATATCATTTTGATTTTAAATGAAAGATACATACGTACCTTGAAGGATATGCTTTTGACAAAGATATTATCAGCTTGAGAGATGAAAGTAGGGCTGGTAGCAATAGAATCGTGAGAATCCCAAACTACAGTTGTCTTTCTTTTTCCATCTCCTTTAATATATATGTATGGCTTATCCATTGGAATTCTTACCTGTTCTCTACATTCATCACCCATATAAGTCATTAAAATACTCAAATAACTCTTTTAACATGTGGCGATAGTAATATTAGGAGACGTATCGATATCAGTCATGATTAGAATTATATGGGTTATATATTAATGATACAACCATATATTTGTTAATATGATATAATATTAATCGATATATTAGTGATTTATCAATTGGTGATGTTACACCAATACCCAACTAAAAAGCTCCACCAATTGAGTTTTGGAATTTATAACATTCTCTAAAAAAATGTATCGTTAATAGTGGATTTCAACATTGGAAGTCCTAAAATCCAATATTGAAATTCACGGAATATTAACCAATATTATATCATATCAATATGTATGTCGGTATTGTTATTTAAGACGATATTGATGGCCAATAGGTATCAAGAACTGGTTGATACACATGTGATTTCTTTCCAATTGATATATAGAGGTGTATCAATATTGAAAGGACAAAACTGGGTATATTTCGACAGATACTACGAATAGTGAAGGAAAGAATACCTGTACTCGCCGGCCCTAACGGAAACACAAATCCAATTCCCATTGGTTGAAGGAATGGAATCAATAGCGGATTGAATGGTTGAGAAATTTCCATGTCCAGATTGATCAACATAGATTGTTGGGTAAGTAGCCATGGACAATCTTCGAAACACCCAACTATTGGCCGATCCAAAACTGATGAAGAATAGAGCAAAAAATGCACATAAAAACTGACCATGAAACAACATTTTAGTACTGTAAATAAAAACACCGTCAAGGCTATCTAGATGTTAGCCTAGAACAGCTTATTTATTCTTGCAAGAATTTTTGGAGGGTGACAGAGAAATTAACCCTGTTGAAAATGAATAGATAGTTGGTGAAAGAATCATAATATATAATGTGAAGTAATTTGGAGGGAAATAAAATGGGGAAAGTCAAAAGTCTATAAATGGTATAAGAATAATGCTATATGCAGTAATTAGTATACACACTAGTGTATCAATAGATGATGTGACATAATTTTAGAGGTTTTGGGTATTTGTAATTTGTATAATAAATAGGGTCATTAATGATATCATAACACTAGTTGGTACGTGTACACTAATTGGTGCATGTAGCACCACCGATGGTATAATTATAGAATTTATTGTTTCATGAATAATGTTATATGTACCAATTAGTATACTAATTGATGATATGGTATAATTTAAGAAGTTTTTGATATTTGTAATATAATTAATGAGTAGGGTCAATAACAATGTCATAACTAGTGTTGGTACACTAGTTAGTATACTAATTGGTGCATGTAGCACCACTGATTGTTTCATTGTGAAGATCATTAAAGGTTTTTCCCTTAAATTTCAGTGTGTCCTTTTTTTCTTTGATAATTACAGATTTAATAAATACTCAGAAAAGTGCTCAAAATTTAATTTTGTAGGGTATATATATATGTTTTTTGGGGGGTGAATATGTAGGGTACATTTTAAACCAAGAATGAACATGAAGTGATTTAAAATTTAAAATTTTGGGCAAATCTCTAAGTTTTTTTTTTTTTCTTTTTTTTCTCTAAAACTTATTTTTAATGTTGGAAATTTAAAGATCCTTCTATATTTGATTATTTCTCAAGAGAAATAGAAATGGAAAGGATCCGCAAATGTTATATATATTTTAGGACATTCCCAAATTCTCTGTAATTTTACTATGCAAAAATATAAATGCAGATATTTTACTATTTTTACTTAAAGAAAACGTGGTGAAAATATGTTAGAATATGGAATGGAATTTGGTAAATTAGGGAAACAAAGTTCTGAATTTACAAAGAATTAATGTCTGTAGGAGAGTGAAAAGTTAAAAGGATTGTGAGCTTTAAATTAGGGGATGAGAGGAGCTAGAGAAGTGAGGCTATATTGATGAGTATTCATGTACATTGGAAGTGGAATAGATGGTGACAAGATAATTATGTGATCTATTAAAAATTTTATATTAAATTTATTTATCATTCGATATTAAAAATTTTATATTAAATTGATACTCGGCTTTGAGAATATTCCAGGTCCAATTCCTGGCAGCGGAAAATATTTTCATTATGTCAATTGTTGTGGTACAACAACGTTTTACGATTCCCTTTTTGACAACATTAGAGCTAGGAGTGTGTGGTTTAAAATTAAAATTATAAATTAAATAATAGATCGACGATAATCGAATTATTGATTGATGAAATATTCTTAACCAATTATCAAGTATTTACATAATATTAGTTTTATATATATATATATAATTATTAATTTATAATAAATTTCACACTTATTTTACTTTGATATCATTTTCACACTTATTTTTACTTTGATATCATTAAAAATTAAAAAATATATATGTATTAATTATAATGGAGCAGAGCAATTTTAAAGATGAATTATAAATTTTAAAGTTTAATCCGCTATTAGCCAATAGAATGATACAAATTCGGACAAATCGATACGATTTTAACAAATTATGCGGTATTTACACGATCCTAATTAGAGCCATTGATTGAGCACATCATGCAAGGTAAAAGACTATTATTCCATATGCACCATATTATTATAAAAAAAAAATTATATAATTTTATATTTTTTGAGTTATAACTAAAAAAAAAATAAAAAATAATAACCAAACACAAATGAAACATAACTAAAGATCTCAAAATAATGCCATAATTAAAGAAGAAAATAACATAAATAAAAATGTATATAGTAAGGATGGTGTATAATAAAATTCTCCAAGATTCAAACGTCCCCAACTTTTGGTTATATTTTTGGGAAATTAGATTCTAGATAAGGGAAAATGGCAATAAAATATTTTCAAAAAAAGAGTGTATTCCTACAGTTTTTATTATTGAGGTAGTCAATATGTACAAATTCATAGATAGAGGGAGCCAAGTGATATTTATTAATAATTAAGAGGATTTTCATATAATTAATCCTAATTTAATTGCATTAATTTTATTTTTAAATTTCTAAAAAATTAGCAGTTGAGCACATGTCATGTGCGTGTACAAGTCGAAAAAATATTATGTAAAAAACAATTATGTGTGGAAATTATTCCCCTAGTTATTTTTACTTGCATAAAAATTGTAAAAAATTAAAAGCTGTTAGAATTGAAGGATTTTGAGAAAATTACAATACAAATCTCAAAATTTCACCCTTAAAACAAAATAAATCATGGGTTTTTGATTTTATCAATTTAAATCATAATCTTTTGATTTGTTTTCAATATAAACTGTTTACCTATTTATGTTAAGTAATTAATACAAAATTATACAGAGCTCTGCTCTGGCTTTAAATGAGTCATCCGTTAGTGGACGGTGGGATTGGTCCTCCAGGGATTAGTCGAGGTGCGCGCAAGCTGGCCCGGTCACCCTGAGTTATCCACAAAAAAAAAAGTAATTAATACAAAATTAAAATGATGTGTTAGACATTTTATATACATTTATATTGAGTTTATTGACCAAAATATCTTTTTTTTATCAGTTTTACTTAACATAAAATAAGTAAATGGTTTAAATTGAAAATAAATTAAAATTGTAGAGTTTAAATTGATAAAACTAAAAATTAAAATTTTATTTTATTTTATTACAGTGTTCAAACCCTGAAGTTTTTATTTTTTGTAATTTTTTCAAGAATTGTTTTTGTTCGCATGGAGACTAAAATATCCTTCTACATTAAATGCTTTATCCTTTTGTTTTTTTTCTTTTTTTTTCTTTTTTGTAATACGAACATAATATGAGAAAAAAAAAAAGAAGTGAGTTTGATTTATAAATTGAGTTTTCTATTTTTGCGTATTTTTTTTGTAATACTAACATTGCTGAAGTTGCTCTCACCTCAAAACAAAAGAAAAGAAAAGCAAAGACTTCAGAAAAGACCTGCAGCCTCAAGAGCAACCGCCTGGTAAAGAGGAGGCACTTCTTCCATCCAAACCTGCTTCTCCGACAGCAATCAAGACAGTTGGGCAAGAGAATGTACAATCGAATTTTCTTTCTATTTTATTTATTTTAATTTTTTATTGAACTCCCAAAAATAAATAATATATATATATATATATATATATCTTTAAACAACTGAAAAAATATGTCAAACTCCAAAATTCTTTTTTGCATTGCAATTTAAATTTACATATAACACCTAAGCCGAAACACTCAAAATCCAGCTTGCTGAATCGGAGTGATTAGCATTTTTTAGGCCATGGATGTAGAACACAAGGAGTTTCAGTAGAGTTCGTCCAAGATAAACTCGGTCTACCTCAACCAACCGGACTACAATAATACCACTTATATGAATAATGTATGTATATAACTACTTGAGGCCAGCTAGAATTTGGAAGCCGTAGACTCCCCCATGACTCCTGACACTCTAGAACAAGTGTCCATTGTCGCATATGTGTATATATATATATATATGTATATATGAGCGAGAGAGAGAGAGAGAGAGAGAGAGAGAGAGAGAGAGAGAGTCCAAATCAATGAAGATATGATACGAGTGCAAACTTTTTAAAACTAAAACAAAAATTGATCCAAGTCCACACATCACGTTTTCTAATGGGAGTTACTGAGAAAAAAGGCTGTAATTGCAACAAGCAGAAGTTGCAGATTTCAAGTCACAAGCCACTGCAGTTTTGCATCTTTCCTGTCCCTATCATCATCATCATTTCTGAATGTGTAAATTAAAGAGAAACACAAGTGAGAAATCAATGAAGACCAACAGATAAATCCCAATAGCAGCAGCAAAAATGCCTGCACAATCACCACAAATCGGCCTTCACTTCACAGGATAATTGAAGAGTTGTGCAAACCAGTTTCTTTCATTTTTGACCACAAAGCATCAGTCTCTGCACATCACTCACTCTGCCCGAACAACGTATATGGTTGAAGACCAAATTTATGAGGTGTATTCGAATGGCTGAGGAGGCTGAGGCTCCTCGTCAACAGCCATGGCCGATGATGCTGAGCCCTGTTGTCCAGTTGTTGATCCACCAGCAGCAGCTGATCCCGTCGATGAGGGTGCATCAGTGAGAGACAACACTTCTGGTTCAGCGGGACGGAGGTCTTTCAAGAGAACGAACCCTGAAGGAGCTAACTTAACTGGAACGTATCTGCCTTCTTCCAGAAATTTAATGAACTTCTCCTGAGCAGGAACTACCCTGGCAGGGTTAGTTAAGATTTCAAAAGAAGGTTCGGGCTCTACTCTTTTCTCTGCTGCTGGATTATCAACCTGCCATAAAAAATAAAAATAAAAATAAAAAGAACAAGAAAGAAATGGTGAGTAGTTGAACCTGGATAAGAGAGCTAAATTTACACACCATTTGGATTGTGCGCTGAGAAAAGAAAAGAAAAGAAATGAAATGATTATGATTTCTCACCTTCTTTTTATTTTATTTGCTTTGTATTTAGAGGGTAATTTAGGTATAATAAGGATTATTTATTTTATTTTATTATTTGGAGTAATTTTGGGTTCACCAAATCTCACGACTCTGATGAAAAACAAAACTCAGATTTTAAAGGATTTCGCTTCATTTTTCACCTCTTTAGGGTTCACCAAATCTCACCACTTTCGGTGAAAAACAAAACTCAGATTTAAAGGATTTCTCTTCCCTTCTCACCATTTTTCACCTCTTTAATCATCCAAACAAGTAATGCGAAATCTCATTCCCTCCATTTATTTTCTTTTCTCGTCAAAACTCTCAATCCAAATAGAGTGTTATCCAAATGGCATGACAACTAAAAAATTAATTTTGATGTTCTATATCTCATAAAAATAACTTTTACCATGAACAACTAGATTGTATCAAACATTGTATTGATGGGCAGAGGCATGAAGATTTTTAAGACATTTGCTGCTAGTTAATTAAAAAAAAAAAATACAAATTTCTACCCAAAACTAGTTATGAATTAAGCACTGTAATTAGAAAGAGAAATGGTATTTACCTGCATTGAGTCCCCATCCTTGTCACCAGAGGATTTCCCTTTTCCAGTACTTGAGCCAGCAGAAGAAGACTCTGCTCCGGATGACTTTTCAACAACAGCTTTCTGATCTGCCTCTTTTTTAGTAGCCCTAGCCTTGGCTCTTGCTGATGTTGATAAGACCGCAGTAGGAATTTTCACGGCCGAGGTAGTAGTAGATACAGTAATTGGCCGAGGATACTCAAACAGTGACGGTTTGGCGTGTGATAAGAACTCGAATTTTGGAACTTTCAAGTCATAGTTCAACCCAATAAAGGCTGTGGGTGAGAATGACAAGCTAATGAAATAGATAAGAGGATACCAATACCAAAACTGGCTGAAAACAGCCAGACCAACAACTGCAGTAATTTTATCGTGTTTTGTCTTGGAAAGCAACTTTATTGTCACATTTCTTCCACCAGCATCAAGTATTCCAGAGGCCAAAATAGCTCCCATCTTGCTCATGGTGTCTTCATGCTTATCCAAAATTATTTTCTCCAATTGTCGCCTAGAATAACAAATGAATAAAATACTAAGCTAAAGAAAGGGATAAAGAAATAAGTTAGAAAACAGCAGACCCACACTACCTGAATGTTCCAACACGAGAATCACTAGCTTCACTGATCTGAACCATCACCATAGCCATTGCAATTAAAGCACCTTGACGAACAAAATCAACTACATCTGAGGTCAGGGGCTCTAGCAAAGATATGGCCTCGCTCAGGCCAGTACCGGCACAGGATATGCCAACTGCTAGTGCCGCTCCATAACGAACATGTGGGTTGTAAGACTCAGACAGCAGGGAGACAATGCGAGGAGTCTGCAGTCCATGGGCAGTGAAATCAAGTTCAAGGGGAAGCAGATAGCACCAGTTAGATAAATTTACCGAAGGATCCAAATAAATTTTATATTTACAGTCATAGATAGCACTATGCCACTTTGGTTCAATGGTAACATATTGGCCTAATAACCTTGAGGTTATGGGTTCAAGTCTTGGGACAACCATTTTGTGCAAGGTTAGGTGGATATCCAATCTTTCCCCTCCCAAACACACATTAATGTGTACTATTTGGGCATTGTTGTTTTTTTCTTTTTCTTTTTCTTAGTCATAGACAGCATGCTGAGAAAGCTACTGCTGACAATTGAAACCAATTACAGATTTAGTTAATCCCAAGAGAGACCAAATAAAAGGTATGCTACAGTGTTGGGCATGCATATACAAATAACAACTAGAAAGCTATTGCTGATAACTGAAACCACAGAACATTAGACTAAGAATATCAATCACAAAAAGCAGGATCAAATACTCAGGTGCTCCAAACAAGCAAAAGAAACAAAGAAAAAGAACCAACCTGTTCTGGTTCAGAGTACAGAACAAACCCAAGTGCTAGAACAGCCGTCCGCCTGACATCATTGCTCACATCTGATACAGCAAAATGCAGCAGCTGACGGATCGCCTTATTGTTTGCTGTTCCGCTGTATGCCAATGCCAATGCATACATGCCACCATAACGTAGAATAGGATCTTGATCCCGAGTCATCTGCTCAATTAGTGTATCTGCTTCTTCTTCTCTTCCATAGACTGTGAGGGCTATCCCCAAAGCCAAACCTCTGCAACAAGAAACAACCAAATAATCCCTAAAGAAGACCATAATTAAAACCTTAGCCCAACACCTAGATCAGTGAACCCATACCTGATGATTTTCTCATGCTGCGTTTCATGTGCATAAGCAAGCATTTCAGCTGCCTTCTCACTCGCAGTTCCAACCATAAGTAAGCCCATACTGATACCAGCAGCTTCTCCAGCAACAGCACTGTCAGTATAAAGCACGGTTTTTATGTCATCATAAATATCTTCATCAGCAGTTCCAAGAGCTGCCAAACCAAGACCTAAGCATGCACCGTGTTGAATAACCTGTGCACCAATCAAAGTTTCAAACATGAATATTATAATAGAAATTTAACACAACTAAACACCAGCTTGTAGAAAGCAAGCACCTCAACATTTGTACTGCGTAGGCTATCACGAAGAAATTGTTTGATACCCTCGCCGTGGTTTGCATGAATCAAACCTAGGGCATAGAGAGCACCACCTTCAGAGTACGGACTGCCACCACCACCAGCCCCACTCTGTGGCAAGTACGGGGCCATAAGTGATCTGCCCTGTTGCAGGTGGCCTCTGTGAATAACACCAAGCCCTGCTGTTGCACTGAATTTAGCCCAATTAGTAGCCCTGCTCAGCCAATCCTGACAAATTTTTACAAGTAACAAGGGTGTTAGAAAATACAAATTAGGTAACCTTGTGCAACAAAGAAGGTTTATTAAGAGAATGAAAGTGGGAAGTTGATTTACCAGATTCTCCCGGAGAAATGTATCCACAGTTGTTCCAGCATGCATAATTGCATTAGCATATATTGTTGCACTGTGGCACACACTATTTCTCATCTCTACAGACTGTTTTATTGTCTTAAGAATAAGAAGATCCGACCTATATGCAAATTCACAAAATTGGTTTAAGAAAATTTCCATGCTGCTTTAATGGAACTCCTACAAAATGAATTTGAGCAGAGAGCACAAGAAATAAAGACAGCAGCAAATAAATATGATGCCTCACTTGTTATGGCTGTATAAAAATTGTAGAGTCAACTGTATTGAAGTCTCTCCGGACAAAATTCCTTTGATTTTTGAGAATCTCTCGGCATAGGTCGCTTCAATTGGATCAGCTTCTTGCACATTCCTGTTCAAAGCTTGAGTTCCATCTGTCATTTGAACATCCTCGGCTGCAGTAGCATTTCCAGTTTGATCAGACTCTGGTGCAGCAGATTCTTGATGTGCAGGTTCCGATGGTTGCGACTGGGCACTGGAAAGCCGATTTCTCACATTCAATAGAAAAGCTTGGTGCTCATTCTCTACAAGATCAAAAGCTATCTGAAAAGCAAGAAGAGCATCATCCTTATTTTCACATCGTAGAAGCTTTTCCAAGATGGTCGCAACACCTTCTGGTTCATCCAGGAACATGAGGCACTGACAAATGCTCAAATAATCGGGAGATGGCAGCTCCTGATATACTTTAACAAGAAGACGAAGCACCTGTACAAAATTGGCGGAGAATTAGTCTATGGATATGTCTGAGTCACTGTTATCTCTTCCCTGTAAAATATTCTTTTATTTATCTACATCAGGCAACTGCTTATACGTGTTTTGCGTGTGAGTGTGTGATTATATATATGTAAAGCAATTATTAATATATGGGCAATAAACAAGGATAACAACATTTCTTACCTTTTCTTTGGATAAGTAATAACATATATACAAATATAAAACACACAACTCGGAAGCAATGTCATGACTTTTGTGTACTTAAATACCCCTATACAGAGTAACTGCCATAATTATTTTAAACTGCACACAAACCTCTAGAATCTTGTTCAGTTAACAGTAGATTTCAAGGACTGCTTACGAAGGTGCAGATATGCCTGTCCAATTCCACTGATTTGGTAAAATCCTCTTTAGATGCATAAATTTCTTTTTCCAGTTGAATTTCCATCTGTCTCTACTTTCATCCCAAATTATATATTAATAATTGTTCTGAATTACATATTATACATAGGAAAGTAGGGATTGGTCATTGATATGTTTTACATAGGACATTTAGTCCAAGCACCTTTTTTAACCACCCCATAAGTCCCTCACTTTTTTTTTGCAATGGGACATTTCATAAACCTTTTAGGCAGAAGTGGCTAATTTGGGCGACTTTATCCTTACACATTAAGTACAGAGCATTATACATTAATTTCATACCCATTTTATCCATTTTCTCGTGTTCATACAACCTTCCAAATTTAGAAATATTTCAAACTTCAAAATACAATAATAAATTTTGTTCTACATGTCCATTTTTTTATAGTACTAGTATTTTTGGAATCCACTTGTCAACATCTTTCAAACAAGACCAATGATGACTATTAAATTACATTACAAAATTACACACATAAATTTATATCCAAATAGATAATTTTATCTGAGCATTAAATAGATAGATTTAGCTTCAAACATATAATTTTAGCCTAAGTAGCACGGATACAAACATGCAACACGACACACAACATGACAAACATGCCAACATGCCAGTTTTCGAAAATTGCAGGACACGCCACGATTGGGACACGCTAAAAATTATATATTTTGCAATTTTTTTTATGTCATATATAAAATTTATTCAAAGATAATGCAAAATATGTAACACAATACTAGTTACATTAAAAACCTATACATAACTTAAACATCAAAATATAATTTGCGTAACAATTACATTTCAAATAATGCAAAACAATTATAGTACATTACATACGCATCTATTCATCTTATAAATGTCTCAAAAACATATTTAGAGTGTATAAGTTGTGTTATGAAAAATGCAAAACATTGTTATTATGAAGAAATTCATCACATGACATGTTTAGGGGGTTGAATACGTGTCCACAAAGTGTCAATGAAGTGTCCAACATTAGAATTTGACTTTTTGATTAAGACATGTTGAAGAAGTGTCGGACATGTTTTTAGGAGTGTCCTAAGAGTGCATGCGTCAGGTGTTCGACACAACAAACTTCCTTCAAAAAAATGTCCATGCTTCTTCGATTTTAGCTCTAAATAGATAAATTTGTTTGTGTAACAATCAAATAAATTTAGCTTCAAACATATAATTTTAGCTCCAAACTGATAAATTTATTTATGTATTACACAAATGATTTTAGCTCCCAAATAGATAAAGTCAGCTTCAAACAAATAAATATAGCACTAAACAGATAATTTAGTTCCTAATAGAGTTGTACCCCCAAACACTGACATTGATAGAATTATCTTATTCTCAAGGACGGAGCCAGGACTTTAAGATAAGGGGGCCAAACATTATGTATATCCAACTAACTACATTTACATTTTTTTTATATTCTAATTTGCCAGTTGCAATGCATCAAAATATATCAATTTGGTAGCTCCGTCGCTGATAAATTTCAAATGCATCTATCTTTCTCAATCAAATAAAGTTATCAGTTGAGAGACTTAGCTGTTTTGATGTAAATTTTCTAAGATTGTCCATTGGATAGTTCAAGAAATTTGATGAATAGTGAAATTTCAAACATCAAACGGCCCTAATTTTGTGCTCATTTGTTTGGGGGATTTTTTTATTTCATATATTATTATGTAATCTAAACATTGCAAATGTCTATAGATGGTTTGGGTGCATTAGTTTTGCTAAAAAAAATGTTGTTTCAACACTTAATTTTGTTATTTTGATCCAAACAGCTAAATTTATTCGTTTTAAGTCCAACCAAATAAATTTATCTTTTTTGCATAATTTTATAGTCATCATAGATCTTTTTTTTGTTTGTTTTGATAAATATTACAGTCATCATAGGTCTTGTTTGATAGATCTCAATGAATGGAATCGGAAAAATATGTCTTATGAAAAACAGGTATGTAAGATAATTACTATTGTATTTTAAAGTTTGAAATAATTAAAAAATATATATATATAAAAAAAAAACTGAAAAAAGAATTTTGAACATGAGTGCAAAGATTTTATTCAATATTTTCGTCATTTGATTGGTTTTTGTGCCCAGGGACCTATCACTTTAAGAAAAGTGGCTGAAACAATTTCCCACATTCTTATAACAAGCAACCTACTGCCAAATTCTTCTACTATATATACATCTATACATGTATTGATTTAAGGTAAGGCTTACTAAAGCAAAAATAAAGTAACAAGGGAGCATCAAACAAAAACAAATGAAACAAAGCAAAACTGTATCCCTATAAGTCACTCCAATCTCGATAGCATTTACAAAACCCAAAGTAGGTAGACTCTATAGGATTTGTTTCCGATTTTGAGTAGCTGCATTTTTCCTGCCTTCCAGAACCACTGCAGTTAACTTGTGAATCAACAAAAATATGACGATTCACTGTCACTTGATATTTCCAGTTCAGCAATATACTACTGGAAATTATTTCTTTTCTTATTAGGGAAGTTTCGAACACAATGTACAACATAGAGGAACACCATAGATGTTACCATGTCCGGTCAAAAATTATAGCAATATAGAAACCCTGGATCTTTTTCCTTTCATTAATACAGCAATATGTCTAGCCGAGTAATTTCTATTCAAATTGATACAATACAAGGCAACTTGGATGAAAAACTTCATTTCTAAAAACAAATGTACCAACCATAGCAAAACAGAAATTCATGATATTGGAAATCATATACAGAAGGCTAATAGAAAATACACATGGTTTCAGGATATGAAAATAACTCTAAACTGTACAAGCATGATATTGTTCATACCTCACGACGATATTCTCTGAGATTAACATACGAATGAGAGATATTAATACAATATGATAGGGTTGCATGAATATTTTCACTTCTTGTAATTGCTTCCTCAAGTTTATCCAATCTACGACATTCAATTGCCATTCCGATAGCTTGTTGATATCTTCCATCCAGTATACACCTATATACAGCAATGGTAAGACAACTGGAGAATTGTGCCATTACACTAAAGAGAAGCAAAAAATTTACGTACTTATCCAACATTCTCTCAACGATTGCCTCCAACCGAGGGTCCATTTTGTTTTCATCATTTGACTCTGCCACCTTTGACTTGAGACTGGCATATTCATCAATTGCTTTAGCTGAGTGAAGGTAGAACATGGCCAGCAATAATTAGGAAGGCTACATTGAAAAAGTGTTAATTTCATCCATATAATTTCACAAGTTAATATCAACTATCAAAACCATGATGGACATTATACAATCAACATATATCAGGAGTTGATATCTAGCTTAGGCTTTCACAGACTGCATTTACATGTAACCAATTTGAGGGAAACCAATAATGAATAATAAGCAGATCTTAAAACCTCAAAGTAAACATGGAAGTCTGTTCAAAAAAAAAAAAAGAGGAGTAAACATAGAAGTTTTTATGTTGGAAAAGAATGGATGCAAGGTTATTTATCAAAAAAAAAAAAAGGATGCAAGGTGAAAATTCTTACCAAGAAGGGTATGAATGTAATCTGAATCCTCAGAAACATCAAACAGAGGACCAGCTCCCAGAGCATACGATAACGAGTCATTGAGTTCACCCAAGTAATAAAAAACCTGCCAACAAAAACAAAAGAATTTGTGCAACGAAGATAATAGTTACTAAATTGTACATCTCAAGCAGTAACAAAAAAAGGCCTCAGGCCTCAAGAATGAGTCCTCAAGTTCATCCAAGTAATAAAAAGTTGTCAACAGAAACAAGGGAATTTATATAAAGAACATAGCAGTTCCTTAAATTATACATCTCAAACAGTAACAAGCAATAACCTCTGATTTCAAGTCTTATCTTCACATTTGAGTATTCCGTTGTAAGATTACTGATAATAACATAGAGTGTGTAGATATTTTATAAATGGAAACTTGAAAATGACAGAACATATTGAATTATTATGAGTAAATTCTCACATTCAATTTGCCTCACCCTCATCAGAGAACCACCCAGAGATATGCAGCAAATTCTTCTAGACTATCACAGGGTAGCCAACCCTCAGATTACTTTTATGAATATTGGCATCTAGGCCCATGCAAACTGAAAAGGGGCAAAACATATGTAGACTCTCTTTTTTTTTTTCAAATAGACCACACAAATCAATTTTCAAAAGTGAACTTGTCAAATCTATGCTCAAGAATTTGATGGAAGTACCAGAACCGTTCGCCAATAAAAAACTTAACCACTAGAACATTTTTTTTTTTTTTTTTTTTTGGGGGGGTTGGGGGGGTGGGTTTTACATAAAATTTGGAAATCAACTACAAAATTTATAAATTCCGGCATATAACCCTGGCAACCCAAATGGGCATAAAAACCAGGATTGTAGACAACTATTTTTCTTTATACAATAAAACTGATTATAAGATAGAAGAGAAACAACAAAGGCCATGGAGGAACCAATAGAAAGTGGGTAATGACCTTTGAAACAAGCAATGCCGCAAGTTGCCGTTGGTCGAAATCCTCATCTTCGTATAAGCTCTCTCTGCATGAGAAATCAACACAAACATTTATTTCCAAATAACCAAATTAATACAAATCCCAAACTGAAGATGGCTTATATTTCTAATATATGACCATCAATAGTACAGCAATATCATAGTGGTGATGAAAAACATATGGCAACAAATTCCAAGATTACCACTTGATTTGCATATCTAAACACCAAAATACAAAAGCATACAAATCCCATGACTTGTCGATGATAATAAAAAGCATTATCCAAAGGTGAACATCTTGTCAGAATAGAGGCTTTCAGGATATAATCAAATAAGAAACAAATATTAGAAGACAGAAAGAAAAAAAAAAGAAAAGAAGAAGAAGAAGAAGAAAGAAAGAAAGAAAGCGTTCAAGAAATAATATGCATATAAATGCCAACCTTAGAATCTAACCAATTAATTTTTATGCTTATTTTAACTTGGATTTTAGCCTTTCTAGGTCGCTGACAGCCTCACGTGCTACATTTTTTTTCAGTGATTTATTATGTTGAACCTTTATGCCCCCTACAAAATATGTAGTAGTAATTATTTCAAAGTATTAACAGAAGGGTGAAGATCAATTTAGGGTCCTTTTGGTTTAGTTTTAGAATTATGATATGAGTGTGGAGTTGTATTTTGAGTATTGAGTTTTTAAATCATGATTTAAAAAGAGAAAATTTGTTTGGTTATAAATTTTAAAAATAGTTTTGGAATGATTTGTATTTTTATTTTTTATTGATGTATAGAATGTGAGAGAAGAAAGAAAAAGTGATTGATTGATTAATAATAATAAATAAATAAATAAATAAAAGCGAAAAGAGGAGTTTTGAAAGTAATTTTGAGTTGAATTTTAAAAATATGTTTCGTTAACATGTTTCACCCAAATCATGATTTAAAAACAGAATTAAGTTTTGAAAAGTAAACCAAACGCTACCTTAGTTTTTTAAAGCAATTAGAAAAAAAAGAACATCAACAATACTACCAGTTGCTTGCCGTAATAATAATTGACTATCCATTGCATTATCACACGCTACATAATTCCACTGACTTGGAAAACACAAACAGAAAATGGATCAAAATATAAGGGACAAGGCTGAGAATCATGTGATTCTACAGTCCTGACTACATATCAAAAAGAAAATCCAACTATAAATAATCAAGGAGTAGCAATTTACTCAAAATATTTTATTTTCCCATCTCAACTAAATAAGTGATAGCAACAATCCTGCTCCAGCAATTGCACCTTAATATTTATTTAACCCTTGAAAAGAAGATAGAAATTATAACCTCTATACCTCAAGCTAATAAAAACACTACAGCTTCTTCTGGAGGGACCAGGTACAGACCATTAATCATTAAACATACTTGACTAAATTTGATAGCAAAGTTTGACATAAAATTAGCAAAAACCAGTTGCCACGTGCAACTTTGATAGAATGGTTTTGCTACCAAACAACTATACAAGTACTCATTAACCAAAGACCCCTCCTTCTTCCAAACAACTATTCGATATCTCTGAAACCCAAAATTTTCCCCTAACCATAAAACTCTAGGTTCTGCATTATAACAAAGAAAATCTACCTTAAATTAGTACACAGAGTTTCGATTATCATTGCATGTGACAGAAAAAAAAACAAAACCTCCACTCAATTCAGCCAGATACCTTGCTCAATTCAATCAAGTTCCTCACTTTTTGTGGTGGGAACCCAAAACAACACAAAATATAAAGATAAAGCTAAAATTGTCACATTCTTCACTTTTCCTCGGTTTTCGCAGCAACCAAACAAAGGGTTTTACGCCACAAACAGATGAGAAACAATCATTACTCAAATACCCAATTCACAAACAAATAAAAGAGAGAGAGAATTGAAAGAAGAAGAATTACATGATGGGTACGCTAGTGGAGATCTCGGGCCAGAAGTAATCAACGAAAGCATTGAGATTTGAGAGAGCGTGAAGTTTCAACGAAGGGTGAGTCTCGTTGAGCATGGCCAAAAGCCCTCCAGCCGAGCTCACCATTGTCGCTACCGCAGCCATGACCACCACTGCTTCGCAATTTGAAGGATCGAACGGGTTATACAGATAGGTCTAAGTTATAGTTTTTGATCTCTGCAAATACAGAGAGCTAGGGTTAGGGTTTTGAAGCAGAAGAAGAAACCCTAGGAAATCGGGAAGACGAGAGCGACTTTCGAAGAAGAGGAGAGAGATGAGATGAGTAGCGTACTGTGTGTCTATATGTGCTCTTCCGTCCTGTTGTTGTGGATCTGGCCAAGCAAACCCAGTTCAGCTCAATTTTCTAACTTAGCTTATTTGCTATTGTATCCTTGTATATTTGTTAACTTTCTTTGAAGAGGCTCGAAAGTTGAGAAAATCACAAATTATTCCCAGTATAAAAGAGAAATGTTAGAGATCATGAAAATTTTGTCATGAAAATGATCATGAAAAATTTGTGACCCTTAGATTACCTTGATTAGTGTATGGTGCTTTATTGTAAGTGTAATCCAAAGGTCACAAATCTTTCATGACTATTTTCATGAAAGACTTTTCATGATACCTAGCATTGCCGAGTATAAAATAGTAATCACTACACATGCTACCCAAATTTATGAAAAATTGCTCAGTAGTCCCTCTGTATAATGTGAGCAAGCTAATCTTGGGACTGTTTGGTGGGATTGATTTGAGTTTATTTATAATTTTTTTTATTTTGTGAGTTTGAAACAAATTGTTTAATACAATTTCTGTTTAAAGTTTAGTAAGTACATATAGTTTAAGGAAAATGTTTGAGGGCCATAATTTTTGTGGTCACAATGGCTCAAAACTGTCAAAACGACACAAAAATTATGACCTCTAGCATTGTTGATAGTTTAAATAAGTAGAAAGAAAATAAATAGTAAAGATGATTGTCTTCTTCTTCTTCTTTTTTAAGATAGTGTAAGTACGAGAATCAAACAGTTGTAGCCAAAGCTTCACTAAAAACCAAAGAAGATAATGAAGTTGGGACTTCCTCTATCCAAACTGTGCCCTCCTTCAAACCCACTGCTATTCTTGCTAGACAATAAGCAACAAAATTTCCTTGACGCCGCACATGTTGAACTTTTCATTCCCGGAACGAAAAGAGAGACTCTTGAACAACCCTACCAAGTGACCATAATTTGACAACTTCTCATTTTGTGTTTGAAGATCTCTAATAATTGTTAGCGAATCTCCTTCTAGGATAATCTCATGTAGACCCACATCATGTGTAAACTAAATAGCTTTCAAAGCTGTCATTGCTTCAATACAATCAACCTCCATACCAAATAGGATTTTCTTCGCCATAGACGTAATTACTACACCTTGCTTATCATGAAAAACCACTTTGATGCCTATAGCTCTATGTTTCGTAAAACATGCACCATCAAAATTTACCTTGAAAAATCTTGTTTCCAGAGCCCGCCAGCACTTCAAAAAGTTAACCCAAACATCCATATTTTCAACCTCAAATTTTTAGTCCAAAAAGACAAAAAGTGCACTTATTCAGTCTTCTCAAACTTGGCCTAAATAGCTTTCAAAGCTGTCATTGCTTCAATACAATCAACCTCCATACCAAATAGGATTTTCTTCGCCATAGACGTAATTACTACTCCTTGCTTATCATGAAAAACCACTTTGATGCCTATAGCTCTATGTTTCGTAAAACATGCACCATCAAAATTTACCTTGAAAAATCTTGTTTCCAGAGCCCGCCAGCACTGATTCAAGCTTGTATCTAGACTGTCGCACACCCTTTGCCAAATTGCCAACACTTCCTGATAATACTCACACACATGACAAGCAATCTCTATTTCTGAACGCTTTGTATTTGTAAACACAACCTAGTTGTGATGCTTCCACAGAACCCAGCACAAAACTAAGAACAACTCGAAGCTTAGATTATCTAAGGTTTTTGCAGCACTAACCAACCAATCCATTGGCGACCTCTCTCTTCGATCATAGACACCCAAGCCAATAAAGTATTGGCCCATACTTCCAAAGCAAACTTACATTGAAACCATCAATGTAGATCAGATTCTATTCCAATAAGCAAATCTCACATTAAGCATTATCAATTAGTTTCCCCCGCTTAAGATTTTGCACAAACAGGTTAAGTATTCAAGGCAAGCTCCCATTCGAAAATTTTAATTTTACCTAGAATATTAGTATGCCAAAATATTTTCTAGAAACTCTTCTCCACATGCTTCCCATTGGACGAAGACCCACAATTTGCACCATTTCAGCTGTCCATCTCCAAGTGATAAAGCTGATTTAACAGAAAACTAATATTGTTTTGAATAATGCCAAACCAAACGTCATCAATAAGCCTTGGACAAATAGAAACCTGCATAATAATCTCCATCTCTAATTCCGGGAAACACTCATGCAAAGTCCTTCTATCCTAAGCTCTTGTAGGCCAATTTATAAACGAACTAACCCACACATTCCCCTTTATACCCTTTGGATGTTAAATTACCTTGAACGTACTAGGCCTTGGCAGTCATTTATCCTTCCATATTCATACTTGCTGGCCATTCCTAACTTTCCACTATAGTCCTTTCTCATGCAGTAACTGCTCAGTCCAAATACTCCGCCAAGTAAACGATACATTAGCCTCCAGCGATGCATTCAAATTGATGATTGTGGCTAATATTTGGCCTTTAGAACCTGAGAAACCAAACTATCTAAGTATTTCAGAAGCCTCCAACTCTGTTTTGCCAATAATGCCATATTGAAAACTAATACAAATCGAAAACCCATCATACTATCGTCTTTTGCCATACACAAACCCTTTCAGTTTTTCTAGTGAATATTGCGACACTCCTCTTTTTGACCCTATAAATACCTAGCCACCATTGAATTAATTTCATTGCAAATCCCTTCCACAATCAAGAAGCACGACGTAACATGAGTAGGTATTCCTTGAGTAACCGCTTTTATCAAGACTTCACGACCGACTGTTGACAAAGATTTATCTCTCCATCAGTTAAGCTTTTTCCAAGCCCTATCTTTGATGTTATTAAAATCCTCCTTCTTTACCTCCCAATAAAAGATGGCATACCCAAGTACGTTCCTTTTCTTACCAGCTGACACACACCCAATTTCGCATCCAACCAAATATGTTCTCCATCACTAACATTACAACTAAAACAGATTCCAGACTTTTCAAATTGATTTTTTGGCCCGAGGCGTCTTCATAGTCTCTCAATATAACCTCCACTGCCTCCACATTTTGATCATCCACATTTGCAACACAATAGACTATCATTGGCAAAGAATAGATGGGTAATGCTAGGACCCCCACAACAAATAGACACACTTGGAAATTGCCCCTTATGTCTGATGTTACCAATTAATCCAGTCAATACTTCAGCACACAAAATAAAGAGATATGGAGATATTGGGTCCCCTTGTCTAAGCCTGCGAAAATGAACAAATTGCTTAGTTGGCCTCTCATTAACAAGATAAGGCACAATTGACACATAGCTCATTACTGAATCCGTGAATCTAGCAAGAAAATTCATCTTCTCCGTTACCTTTCGCAGAAATCCCCATTCAACGCGGTCATATACTTTGCCCATGTCTAGTTTCAATGCAAATTGACCCATTCTCCCCATTCTTTTATTCTTCAAGTAATGAAACACCTCAGATGTAGTAAGTACATTATTGCTAATGGCTCACCGAGGGACGAAAGCACTCTGGTTCGAATCAACCACTTTCAATTTGCAAGGACCTTTGAGACTAGTTTGTAGATGACATTGCACAAGCTAATTGGACGGAACTCGAAAGGCCATTTCGGTTGCTTAACTTTAGGAATAAGAACAATGTAAGTCATATTGATCACTTTCACATTCTATTCCCCATTAAGAATCCCAAGGACAGCTTTGCATACATATTTTCCCACAATATTCCAAAATCTTTGATAAAACAAAGCCTCCGTTTGGGAAGTGGGTTGGCTTTTTAGCTTTTTTGGCTATTTTAGCCTGGGCTAAAAAGCTTGGTTTGGGAAGGGCATTTTTGGCTTTTTAGCTTTTTTTGTGAGAGAAGAGTGTAATGATTATGGATTGGATGTGATGTTTTGTTTGTTGCGGCGAAAATATCCTATTCTGTTTTTTGTGGCTAAAATAGCCAAAAAAGCTCTTGCCAAACGGAGTTGTTGGCTTTCCATCCGGCCTAGGAGCTTTAGTGGGATGCATTTGAACCAGCAAAATCCGAACCTCCTTCTCTATAAACAGACTCTCTAAAGAAGTAGTTAAATCTTCATGAATCTGGCAGATCAAGCAATTTGCTACCTCCTTCACTTTACTTGGCTCACTTGAAGTAAATAGCTCTTGAAAAATAACTAACCACAATATCATCTATATTATTTGGCTTAGTACACCATACTCCCAAATGATTTTCTAACCCATCAATCGCTTTATTCTTCTGTCTTTCTGAGGCTTTAACATGGAAGAAAGTTGTATTTCAATCATCTTCTTGAACCTGAGATCTCTGTGCCCACATCATCGCCTCATTTTCTAGGAGTTCATCAACTTCTTGCTGTAATTTCCGCAAGTCCCTACCATCACTTTTAGATAAATCTGGGCAAGCTTACAAGTGTTGAATTGCTAATGATTTTTCTTGTAGTAATCTTTGAACACTCCCAACATCCTTCCGTTCCAAGAAAATAAACAAGAGGCAATCTTTTCCAGTCCATGAGCCACTATTTCCACATTCACTTCCATTACACCTGGCTCCCATGAGTCTTATACAATCCGCTTACATTGCTCTACCATTAGCCACATAGCTTCAAACCTATCAAGTTTGTACTAGCGAGGTTAGCTCTGCATTCCTTCCTAAGCCCTCTCCAAATTGCTAAATAGTACACTTGGGCTACAAAGAACATACTCCTCTAACTATCATTTACTACACACCGGTCGAACCTTTCCCTAACCAAACCTAAAGAATAACGCCCATTGCATCAGATGAAAAGAGCCCCATTATAGCCAACATCCACCAGATCACACATCATTACAGCCCCCCAAAAGTTATCCATCTGGTTCTAGCCCTATTAAGTAGAGCAAATAACACTTCATTGAAATCACCAATACAAACCCACAGTAGAGAAAAGTGTGGATCCTCCGAAGCAATTCCCCTGACTCATTCCTCTTTGCTATCACCAGGTGTCTATAAAAACTAGTAACCTACCAATAATTACAACTTACACCAGTAGAAACAACGGCATCGATGTGGCCCTTCGAATAGCTCTTA